TCACTTCTGGCTCTGCTACAGTGAGCACGCATGCCCTAGAGCAAAAATCTCTCTTTAAGAAAAGAAGTGGGACATTTAAGAGACGATTAAGCCATGAGGGCTCTATCCTCACAGAAGGATTACTGCCATTATCACAGGAGCAGGTCCGCAGTGAGAGGCGGCTCCTCAAACCGTCACACGCTGGCACGCTGATACTGCACTGCCCATCCCCCAGAACTGGGACGCAGAAACGTCTCTCATGAACACCCAGTCCCTGGTACACGCTCGCAGCAGTAGACAATGAATGGAGCCAGACGGCTATTCAATTACATTATAAATATGAGTAAAATATAAAACATGTGTGATACTTACACCTCATACCTTACTTCACTAAACAAACACTGGCCAAGTGTTGATGCCACATTATGAAGCTCCTTTCCTTTGTCATTTTATACCAGACAACTGAAGAAGGCAAATAACCTCATTATAGTTGTTTTCAAAACACAAACCCTGGGACCAGCAGTTAGCATAATGGCTGTGTCGCTGGACTCCCATGTAGTCGACCGCGGTTCGAGTCCTGGACCCAGCGGCTTAAACTCACACCGGGTGCATGTGCGTGCATGGCCAAGATCCCGAGAGGAGAATGGAGGGGGAAGGGATTGTGGCATGGCCATGCCCCCTGAGGGGTGATTTCTTGCTTTCTATCTCTCGGGGTCTCTCTCTGTCTTTCTGGTGAGCACATGAGCCCTATAGCAAAAACCTCTCAAAAAAACCCCAAAAAAACAAAACAAAACAAAACAAAAAAACCCACAAACCCTACGTGGTTCTCTTTAAAAAAAAAAAAAACTGAGTACACACAAACACATACATGTTTATATCTGAAGAAATCACCAAAAAGGGTAGTGCTAGTTTTTATATTTTAGAATTTAAACACATCTATGATAAAGAAGATACACTTAATACTCACATGCTAATGGACAATCACTGTTTCAAGTAAAAATTCTGTAACAATATCTATTTCATCTTAGAAAGCAAAGTTAATCTTCTATTTGTTCCCAAAGTATAAAAACATAGTACTGTGCAAATTAATTCATTAAAATGGAATATACACCAGTTTCCTTTTTCAGTGTATTGATATTATATATATATATATATATAAATAGAAAGGAAGTTTTCCTAAAATAGAGTTAAAATGTAAACCAAGACGAGAGCTGTACACTAATTACTGTGTATAGTTCTCCTCACCCTTTCCACAGTGCTGCAGAAATGGGAGATCTCATCTCTAGAGCTTGATAATCGATACCTCACCTAAACCTAAAATCACACCTACGTCTCGTTGGCCAAGAATATCCCTCATGTAACTGTCTTTATAAGAGGAAGATCCTGTATTTTCAAGACCTTGATAATATTAGTTTAATACTAGTAATTTTTAAATATAATACTTATGTTTTTATAATATATAAGGAAATAAAGAGTTTGCAGAGAATTTATATATATATATATATACACATACACATACACTTTTTCTTTTTTTTTGTAGAGGTTTTTGCCATAGGGCGTTTTTGCCATAATGGGCACGGAATGGGAAGCTGTTCGGGATTTCCAACTTACCCAGTAACTCCACACTCACACACTAATATTACAACTATAATGAGGGTATGCTTTAAGAACGTTCCTCTAGTAGCCTAAAATACTCATTATGTAGCCAGTGCCTGGCTTTATTTCAATAATCAATGGGTCGCATCCACTGTTGGCCTTACTGGCATCAGCACCAACTTCTCTAGTGCTTAACCCAGTGATCCACGTGTGAGGGCTAAAGTCTCACAACTTAACAAAACGGGAAAATGGCAAGAAAGAGATTACGATGACATGCTAAACATTTCATATAATTCATGAGTGTTGCTCAATTTTTCATATAATTTAACCACAAGCAATAATAAGTATTGCTTTAATATGCTATATAGCTAAGGAGGAATACTTTTTTAAAAGATTAAACAGTAGTAATGAAAAATTTATCACATTTCTTAAACCCTTTAAGTATCATTAATAGAACGTGATTAAAGCCTTGCACTGGACGCTTCTCTACGTAGTAAAAACACATCAACCATACAAACAGAACAAACCAGGCTGTCAGAAGCCTGTGTGTTATTGGGGTCATGGCAGAAGGCAAGTTAACATAAATAGTACAACATAAGTAAATCATACAGCATGGTGGAAGGTGACAAATGCCACAGAGGAAAAAAAAAAAAAAACAACCAGGAATCTGGGACAGAGACTATCAGGGTTAGAGAGGAGGGACCGAGGGCTGCTTTTTAACAGGGTGTGCCGGGAAAAATGTCACTGAGAAGACTGTACCTTGTTAAGACTTAAACGCATGAGAATAATTTACTGCTCTACAGTTATTTCCAATTATTTCTCTTCATAATTTAATTTTAAATACCGAAGACATTCTGAAATTACTCCTCTCTAAATAATAAAGGACTTCAATAACATAAACAGAGAGCCAAAACCATGCCTGATTTACTAAGACTGATTTATCCAGTCTAACTTTGACTCTCTATTTTTGTCATCTATAGGAGCAAAAGTAAATCATACAGCAGGGGGGAAGGTGACAAATGCCACAGGGAAAAAAAAAAAAAAACAACCAGGAATCTGGGACAGAGACTATCAGGGTTAGAGAGGAGGGACCGAGGGCTGCTTTTTAACAGGGTGTGCCGGGAAAAATGTCACTGAGAAGACTGTACCTTGTTAAGACTTAAACGCATGAGAATAATTTACTGCTCTACAGTTATTTCCAATTATTTCTCTTCATAATTTAATTTTAAATACCGAAGACATTCTGAAATTACTCCTCTCTAAATAATAAAGGACTTCAATAACATAAACAGAGAGCCAAAACCATGCCTGATTTACTAAGACTGATTTATCCAGTCTAACTTTGACTCTCTATTTTTGTCATCTATAGGAGAAAACTGAAAATTTTCACAAAAATGAGACTAATAAGATTATCAAGCATTAATAACTGTAACTCTAATAATTTGCAATTAATCTCTAAAACCTGACTGGCCAGTCAGGGAACCTCAACAGAGATAACTACTAAAATATTTACATATGAAATAAAATAATGTTAACTGCTTATTTCAAAAGAACCCAAAAGCAAGTAAAAAGAAAAGGACGGAGAACAGGTGAAACAAGATTCGGTTTACGAGCAACTGATAAAGTTTAGTGATGTGTGAGTAATATTACATTAGTCTCTCAAAATATGTATATTTCCCATACAAAATACAGAAAAGGTTAGAGAAAAAAGAAAAAAAAAAGAAGCACACTTTGAAACCATTATTCTTCTTTACTGACACATAATACCAAGCCTCAAAGAGCATTTTGCTATGTTGATCTATCCAGTATTTCCTACTCACCAAAGGGAAAGGAAGGCAACTGAGTTCTGTGAGTTCAGTGGTAGTTACTGTGAACTCTGCTACTAACTTAACAAAGCACCAACCTCACTTTGAAACTCTGTGCAAAGGCTTACAAACGGTCTAATACAAGGACAGTCAGGACATGGATATTTCAATTAATCTCTCTCTCTCTCTTTTTTTTTTTTAGAGGTTTTTTACTATAGGGTGCGTGCGCTCGCCAGAAAGATAGAGATAGAGAGACAGAAAGCGAGAAGTCACCCCCCGGGGGTATGGCTACGCCACAATCCCTTCTCCTCCATTCTCCTCTTGGGATCTTGGGCACACAC